TTCTGCATCTATTATTATTATTATTATTATTATTATTATTATTATTATTTTATTTTATTTTATTTCTGTGTATACTCATTTCCTTCTGGCTCCCAACAAGAGACCTAAGGTGAGAAATGTCATCATGTCATTTTCTACTAAAAAGAAATAAGAAATAAAGAAATACAAATAAGAAATAAAAATAAAATACATTTTACATAGATAAACCTTCATTACTTGTGAGAAGAATTTTTGTATTTCTTTAAAGCATGGGCTTCCAGGAATCCCTTCAGTGTGTTTGTCAGAACCTATTCCAATCAATCTGAGGGCTCCAACTACAAATATAATTATTGATGTCCTTATGTGCCACATTTTTGAGATTTCCATTTCAAGATCCTTGGATTTTGATAGTTTTTTGAAGATCTTCAAAGATACATTACAATCTGAAGGGACTGCCATTGTCAATAAGAAAGCACATTCTCTTTTTGTGATCTTGGGTATTTCTTTAAGGCATGGGCTACCAGTAATCCCTTCAATGAGTCTATCGGAACCTTTTCCAATCAATCCGATTGCTCCAACTACAACTGGAATTATTGATGTCCTCATGTGCCACATTTTTTAGATTTCCATTTCAAGATCCTTGGATTTTGATAGTTTTTTGAAGATCTTCAAAGATACATTACAATCTGAAGGGACTGCCATTGTCAATAAGAAAGCACATTCTCTTTTTGTGATCTTGGGTATTTCTTTAAGGCATGGGCTACCAGTAATCCCTTCAATGAGTCTATCGGAACGTTTTCCAATCAATCCGAGGGCTCCAACTACAACTGGAATTATTGATGTCCTCATGTGCCACATTTTTTAGATTTCCATTTCAAGATCCTTGGATTTTGATAGGTTTTTGAAGATCTTCAAAGATACATGACAATCTACAAAGACTACCATTGTCAATAAGAAAGCACATTCTGTTTTTGTGATCTTGGGTATTTCTTTAAGGCATGGGCTACCAGTAATCCCTTCAATGAGTCTATTGGAACCTTTTCCAATCAATCCGAGGGCTCCAACTACAACTGGAATTATTGATGTCCTCATGTGCCACATTTTTTAGATTTCCATTTCAAGATCCTTGTATTTTGATAGTTTTTTGAAGATCTTCAAAGAGGTATTATACAATCTTCAGGAACTGCAATATCAATAAGATCCCGCATTCTGTTTTTGTAGCCTTTGATCACGATGTCTGGGGGATTATCTTTTGATTGTGTCTATTGTAAAGTCTAATAAAACTGTTACAGGTCCTATGTCTGTAACTGGATTATAGTGGTCTTCATACCAAGTTTTCTTCCTGTAAAAGTTGCGGATTTTCCCAGTACAGATATGGGCACACCCGAGTTATATATTTGGTGGATTATTATTATTATTATTATTATTATTATTATTATTATTATTATTTCCTTTGATGTCTGTCATGTACTCATTTCTTTCCGGGTCCCAACCAGAGACCTATGACATTTCCCACTGAGCATTTTTATGGGGAAAAACCCTAAGATCACACATATTTTACATAGATAAAGCCCTTCGTAAGGTTTGGGTTGTACTTGTGAATATATTATTATTATTATTGTTATTATTATTATTATTTGCCAATTTTCACAACACTTGTTTCGTGGTTGCCAGGAACCACATAACTTTAAAACTTCTAAGACTTACTTAGTCTTCGTACTGACCATATCGTAAGACATAAAATCAAGAGCTTGGACACTCAGACCATTAATTGTTCGCGGATTATAGGGAAATATATGGGGGCATGTTATCTTCCGTGCTAATAGGAATATGGAATAGACAAACACGGTGGATAAATAGTAACAGGTTTATTATAGAAACTAATACAACAAGCAGAGAAATAATAGCTATGCTCACGGTCGTCGCAAGTCAGTACAGTTGTGTGCATGCTGCTATCGGAAGGACGCTAGTTCTCGCAGATCCCAGCTGGATTCTCATGTCTGCTGTCCTAACGGATACTTATGAGTGCCGCCAGTCATGGTGATGGCGGCTTATTCCATTACATCAGAGCACTTATTTACTTTTGATTTTGCTTTGATCGTATGTAACGCGCAACACTTTATTGCGGCTGTGACATCAGCCAGGGTTTGGTTTGGCTTGGTTTGGTTTGTTTTACGGCATATCAACCTCAATGGGTTATTTAATGTCGACAAGATTTTTATGGCTGGTATTATTTTTTTTCTCAAAAATGTATTGCTGGTTATAATTTTTCTTTAAAAATTTATTGCTTGTAAAAATCTTTTAAAAAGTATTTTTGGTATTAAAACCTATTTTTACACTTTCACAGTGTTTTGACCCCAGTTTGCGGGGTAACTATTTACCCTTAGATGGGACCCTAACAGGTGCTACCATCCCAGGTCAGAGTTTACCTGGGAACACCAGCAATTAAGAGGTGGTTCCAGGTTCCTCAAAACCTCCTGATTAGAGGCCTTGCTGTCAGATGTAGTTTATTGTTTTAATCAGGACGCAGATGTAGTTTATCGTCATACCCAGGATGTTTCATCCAGGACTGCTGATTTCGCGAACGAGAAATTAATAACAATAATTGGTTGAGTTGAAATTTGTTCATATTTCAAGCTTTAATTAATAGTTTAAACTAATTACAAACGGATTCCTTATCCCAGGAGCCAAGCGAAAACCATTTGGCTGGTTTAGAGTCAAGCAATATGGTAATCTGATAGTGCAAGCTCTGGACTGTAGTCAGGTTGAGCAGAATTTCTGTCTACGACTAACCAATTCCGGGTAGCGTGTTTTCAAAGCGTCGTATACCCGTTGTTGAATATAAAGCCTCTAAGCTTAACTAAAAGGAAAACATCTGGAGCAAGCTAAAATTGCAACACCACCTCATAATTCCAGCAAACACACAACATGACTTTCTGTTCAAACTGCTTTTGTTTGACAACAGGTACTGAAAAATGACCGGAATGAATCTACCTATTTCTCTTATTAAGATTGAGAAAATATATCTAACCGAGCACCTGAATGATTTTTCAGCAGTATTTTTTTAATGTCCACACGTTGTTGAACCTGGTTGTTGGCCAGTTCATGAGGAACCTCTCGCCCTATCTTATGGGGGCGTTAAATGATGGCGTTTTGTGTACGATCAAGTTCTGTCGACAATGTACGAGTGCTTATGCTTGACTATTGCCCAAATATTTCAAGCAAGAGATCTCATCTTCAACAACAGAGACTCTCGTTTGTTTACAGTTCCTGTGCCTTCCACATTATTAATTTATTTTGTCGCTGCCCTTAGACATAGTCATTTTCCCACAGGTAGTGTAAAATGGCTCTAATTACATTTATTTTTTCACCACCCATTATCAAAGCTGTAAAATAAAGACTAAACAATGAATGTTTATATATCATATACGAAAATAAAGAATAAACAATTCAGCAACTATCGGACAAGTTGTATAAAAAATAATGATATAACATGTTACCAAAAATCATCGGTGAAAATCTGAAAGAAATTGACTCAATCTGGTATGTTTACATCTCACGAAATAAATATTAACGGTGCATGTAGTCCAATAGGCAGCTAATAACAGAATTATCGATTGGTTTATTTTACAGCTTATCAACCTTTTGCGGCTTATGTAAAGCCAGAGAATATTTTCGGATTATAAGAAATTTTGGAAATGACTGAATTGAAACTTGGCTGTCCGTTTTACACTTCCGAGCCACCAACCATTGCACCCTTTTCAAATCAAAGTTTGCAACACCTGGTACTCGCAAGTGGTCACCAATCTAGGTGATCGGACAAGAACCGGTATTTCAAGGTGATATGGCCGTAAGCTTAGCTAATGACAGAACACAATTTTTTAATAATTGAGATTTTTATAACATGCACCAAAGGTAAATGATACAATAATATATATGTAAATATACATATATATATATATATATATATATATATATATATAATAAATGTCAATATGCAAATATAATCCAATATAGAATATATCCAATATACAAATTACAAACATATCCATTACAAATTTATATATGCAAGAGTTAATATATTTTGTAGATCCAATATTCCTAAATGTTAATGTAAAAAATTTTATGAAGTTCATATAAGATCCAATATACCTAAATTCTTTCATTCAAGTTAATATTTTCCCAAATACGCACATTGACAAAGCAAACAAAACTCAGAAATTAATCCAAAACTTAGCATCTGATGCAGGAATGTGCACAAAGATTGCAATCTACAATGAGTGGGTTTCTGGGACCGACATACTCCAGTGAGCCATGTGTTAGGTACCGCAGACACTTGGACGCTCTGGAGAGATTTTAGCAACAATCAAGATCACTTCTTGGTATCCACTGGATATTCCACACGCCAGACACTGTGGTTCAAGAAATGGTCAAGGAAATCTGAATCAATGCACATATTCATCGATGCAGGCTTCCTTGTACACCTCAGATCATAGAATGCTACCATGACAGGCCATAATATTTGCCTTGATATCCAAGCAAAGGTTTTACGGCGAGTTGTTCTATGGCACTCGACCTCAGCATAAACCAAGAAAATGCTTCAAGTAATGTTTAAAATATTTTCTTTAAAGCCTGCCCTATGGAAAACTGCTGTTTGTGATCGAAATAAGTTGAAGCGTACAGTTCATTAAGACACTAAGATCTTCTAAGATGTAATGCATGTTGTAGAGTACGACTCTCCAATTCAGGTATCGTTAGCCACAAGAAGAATCATATTGATAGACCTTTCACAAGTTATGACCAGTACTATGCTGGAAGTAAATCAATATTCACTGTGTGTCCGAAAACCTGCAGAAACCGCGCCGGTCTCACATGAAAACCAACGACCAAACTGAACAGACTTTTCACAACAGTCCAGGCACTGTACATAATCACATAAGCTTTGCAAGTCACTTAATGGTTTCAGCAGGCGTTGTCGTTCACTCGAGTACTAGAAAAACATTGATCAAACTTATCACTAGTACACATACACATTTAACGAGTCGACATCTATCTATCTATCTATCTATCTATCTATCTTTTCCTTCCTATCTATCTATCTATTTATCTCTATATATCACAGTCTTTTCTCTATCTGTCGATTCATGTCTATCAATCTATATCAGTCTGATCATATCTATGTTGATTCCTATCTATCTATCTATACACATACACATGAGAAAAAAGAATACATATATGATATATTATTTACAATATAGGCACATTGATCACTAATTTATAATTACTTAATTGAAAAATTTTGATAAAAAATTAGATCGACTCTAAGAAATATGTCTTTACTGTTCAACTAATATTATGATCAATGTATAAGAACTTATACGCACATATTTCGAAATAGGTAATATATATATATATATATATATATATATATATATATATATATATATATATATATATATATAAAATCATGTTATTATGTTAGCGAGTAGTGAACTGAGATGTCTGTGGTATATTGTTTTTAGAGTTACCCTCCATAGAACAGTTGTTTAATCTAAAATAAGATGACATATTTGAAATTGGCAAAAGCTTAGAAACAGACGTTAGGAAGTACATGCGTAAAACAAAACACACATGCTCCCAAAATCAGTAAACGCATGGTTGATAATGATGTCTTCGACAAGGACATATTAAATCAGCTATAGTTACAAACACATAAGCTATCTCAAGTTCAACTCGAACTTGAGAAAGTTATAATCTGTACAAGAGCTGAAATTGAAAAAGTGAGAATTGAACAAGAGACACATTTACCGGAGGACGAATATTTTCTGTGAAAATTTCTCGGATATTCAGGCCGGTAAATGTTGTTTAATACTGTTTATTATAAACAGAGCATTTACTTAAATACTTGTATCTATAAAAAGAATGTATAAACATGAAAAATGACTTAATATATATATATATATAAATATATATATATATATATATATATAAAAAGATTAACAGAAACATATATATATATATATATATATATATATATATATATATATATATATATATATATATATATATATATATATATATATATATGTGTATATATATATATATACATATAGATATAGATATAAGTGTGAATATAAACTAAGCAACGAGATATTAGCAACTGTATATGCGTGCGATTTCGGGCATACGCAGATAAGCAAATAAATATTTATTTTATTTAATTTATGGTACAAACAAAACTGCTTAAATGTACTTAAAACAGAGATATGAAGTATATGTTAATAAATACACATATACTTACTCAATCACCATATATGTCTGACGACTTAAGACACTATCAAACTTTAATTTGCACGACAAACGTAGGTATATGTGTATTTATTAATATGTGTGTGTGTGTGTGTGTGTGAATGAGTATATATATATATATATATATATATATATATATATATATATATATATATATATATATATATATATTACAATAAACGTATAATCAATTTACAAATTCATGAATTATTCACACAAAAACAAATGCAAAGGTTAATGATTTAATTGGCGAAATCCATCGTCGCAAACAATTCAAATAATATACAAAAACTCCGAATCCGTTATGAATGAAATGATCCTTGTTTCTATAAATTTCTGCCGTATTAGTTCTTATTTTTACTACAAGCTTTCGTCTGTTCCTACAGACATCTTCAGGTATGGAATAGATGTTGTTCTTGTTTTTTCTCTTAGTAATAAGAGGACAACGAAAATATATGTATTGTTGTATCTGAAAATGCTATTGGAAATGAGTTATTGTTTTTGGAGCGCGCAGTAGCAACGCTGAGTTTGATTTTAAATTTTTACAGTTGTGCGTTCATGTACAAATATGGTGATATACGAATTTTTTACTGGTAAATTTTCTGTCAAAGTGGCATGAACTATATTGTTCAATAATTACAGTAATGTCGCACTTATTACCCAAAAGTCGCACTTGGATCAGTTATTTTAATTAAATAAATGGAGGTTTTTGTATATTATTTGAATTGTTTGCGACGATGGATTTCTCGCCAATTAAATCATTAACCTTTGCATTTGTTTTTTGTGTGAATAATTCATGAATATATATATATATATATATATATATATATATATATATATATATATATACCCCCTCCCCCAGGATTTTGAATCTCGATATCATGAAAAGTCAACTAAACAATACTTCTGGCTCTGCTATTGCTGAGCATGTAAAAAATAGATGGAATTGTCTGGTTGATTTTAGTTGTGACCATTTTATCGAGGTGCCACTCCAGATATCACCTCAAGGTTCTAGAGTCCTTGTATATCAGATCCCGTGGGCCTTTCTTTTTTAAACAGAGGGAATGCTTACTGGGTCTGAATGTTACTGGACTCTAGCTTTCTTGAAATTCCTATTTTCCCCCCATTCCATTCGTTAATTTATTTTACACGCTAATATATTTTTTACATCCCAGAAAAATAAGCTTGATAAGTCCTGGGACGAAACCGGTTGTTCTTTTTTAGCCTTTTTTTTAAAAATGGCTTATAAATACAGCTTTTTTTTCTAGCTATTGATATATATATATATATATATATATATATATATATATATATATATATACTAAGATTTCAATTACCTAAGTTAAATCTTCTTAACGATACCCACAATATTTTTTATGCATAAGACTGAAACCTGAATCAATACCTTACTTATTTCACAGATAATATTCTAGAAATACAAGTAAATTAATTTCTATAACTGTTAGTTATTGTTAATATAGAGGATGCACTAAAGCCTACCAGTATTTATTTCCTCCTTGATTCGTTTTATGCTACTTTCTTTTACTAAACGTTAAATCCATACAGATACCAAGACATAGTAGGTTACTGAGTGAGCGTGTTGTATGTAGATCGGTCGTAGACTTGAGTTGGTCCTTGACCTGATAAACTTAAGGTTGTAGTAATCAAGATGGCATCCCCTCGATAGTCTGTTCAACAATGTAGCAGTTCTTAGAAAGAATTGTCCGAATGGAACTTCTTCCTTACCAATGGAATACGAAGGGAATAAGGATGGTTCGACTCTGTATACCTTGTATAGTCGAACTTAGCTCTAAAGTTGTGAACTGGTAGTATTATGAACTATATTTCGTCAGAAGATTTTCCATTGAAATAGTGATAGTATATTGACAGTCTTTCGTCTTTGTAAAAGTGGTTGTAGATTGGAAATTAATTCATAACGCACAAGGCAACATAGACGCCTTTGAACTTTATAAAGGTTGAAAAGTTTGGTAATTTTGGTCTGATCTAATAAATAATGACAGGAGGAGTTAGGTACTTTCTGGATTAGTATACAGAACTGACCATGTTCCTAGCATCGTTTACTACGGTTCATATAGATCAGTCTCCCTTGAGATCTAAGGTGAACTTGATTGGCAATAGAGTTTCAAAGCAAGAAGCCTGATTAAGAGTATAACTTTCATCATATTGATAAAAAATCAGTGTCTGCTTGGTAATAATGAAACACTATACGGTAGGTTTTTGAGGTATTGAATTGTACAAGCCAGTTTTCCCCGATGGAGATATTAAAGCTGGGTCAGATGATCGATGCGTTGCCATGCCCTGATCAAATAGGTTTTTACGTAAAAGGTAATAACGAAAATTCTTGGCATTTATTTAAAATTTTCTTGATTATCTTTTTTTTTTCTTTTTTTAGCAATTTTTGTTTACGTATTTAACCAGTAGTAAATTGTTTCTACTAGTTCTTCTATTCTTACTACTTACATCGTATTACAATATTTTTGTTAATTTTAGTATACTGCATAACTAACATCTTCGCGATGTTAACGATATATTTTTGTGGTGTTGGTTATTATAGGTGCTAGTAACTAGTAGTAGATGCTACTTGTCATTATTATGTTAGATACATAGTAAAATCTCCTGTTATTTTCAATCATTTCATTTCAAACAAGGCGATAAAGTTACTAAGACGCAAGGGGGTTACTGGAAATGAAAGAAATTGAAAAAAAATCATTATTAGGAGAGAGAACAATAAAAGAACAGGAATTTCAGGAAACAGAAGATGACAATTGACAATTAACATTGCATTTAAATTTTTGAAGATGAAAGTTGACTGGAAAACAGAGTTTCACAAGCAAGAAGTGCGAGAGAAAAAACTATTAGCAAAGAACTTATGTTAACATCCAGCAATTCCAATTGTAAAATTATGGGACCTAGCGGCTAATCTAGTACTGCACTTAAATTCATTAAATTATTCAATATATAGTCTATGTATAGAATATATAGATAGGTGAAGGCTAGATACTGACGAGAGAAATTGTCTAGATCGATACAGTTTACCAACTTTCCTAGCTGCAGATCTAGCAATTGATTCAATATAATCGTTCCACACTAAGTGAAATGCCACTTTCAGTTTTGGAACTGATTTGATAAAAGATGATAAGTATTGCTATTGGGCTTGTTTTAAAAAAACATGCCCATTTCTATTCTCCTGTAAAAACCCTGTGAAAAAATGAAATTCATTCTTAGCTAGCAGAATATTACAAATGCTGCAACTTTACGCTAGATTAACTTACAAGAGGGCATGAGTAACACAGACACTGTTCGGAGATATGGTTCTTTTTTTGATTTTTTTTTAAGCGTTTCACCCCAAGCAAGGCGGAAAGCCACTAGAACGCAAGGGGTTACAGAAAATTTGGAGCAAGATCAGATAGGAGTGATAGAAGAAAGGATGAGGAGAAGAGTAGTGGATAGATCAAGTCAACGTGAGATACAGAGGCCAGTGAGAGAGAGAGAGAGTGTGTACCGGGAACCCCTTCCTAAACAAGAAACAAGGCGTAAGCCTCTACTCATGTCCAAGAGAAGGGGGAGGAGTGTGAACCGAGAGCAATGTACCTTTTTTCATAAATATTTAGCGCTTCCGTTAGAAACTACTTTAAATATACTTTCAAAAAATTCACTGTTCAAATCCAGGACGACTGTCAGAACAATTACTCAACATTTTAAAACCTGATAAATCGTGTATATTTCTGAGATGAGGTATTGTAACTATTTACATCGTTCGGACTGTTGTTCTCATTCTTATTGCCATATTCAAGACGTTTCGACCGTTGTACGCTTCGGTCTTCTTCGGAATTT